CCCAGCTACTCAGGAGGCTGAGGCAGGAGGATCGCTTGAGCACAGGAGTTTGAGGTTGCTATGAGCTAGGATGACGCCACGGCACTCTAGCCCGGGCAACACAGTGAGACTCTGTCTCAAAAAAAAAAATAGAAAAGAATAAAAAAAGGAAAAAGAAGAAAACCACTCCATGGTTGTGGTCTCTTATTGGGAAAGACTGCTGGTTAGTTGTGCAAAAACCACAAACAGTGAGTAGACCATGAGACTGGTTTCTGCTTAGCTCTTAAGGAAAAAAGCCTGATGGCTGCCCATGGGGGAGGTGTAATGAGGCACGTCTGACCTCCCATCCCATCATGGCTGGGAACTCAGTTTTAAGGTTTCTCTGAGGTCCCCTTGGCTGAAAGGGAGCCTGTTCAATCAGTGGGGGGCTTAGGATTTTACTTAATTCACATATCATATATGCATACATATGATTATGATATACATGGATGTAATAGTAAAGACTGAAGGGAAAAAAGGATCAAAAGCTTGGTAGAAAAATGGGCAGAATGTTAGTATTTGCACAACTTATCTTCTTCCATTTACTTTCTTATTTTCTACCTGTTGGATCTTCTATTTTCTCGGAGATTTCTTTGACTAATAATACTGAGATTTTTTTTTTAACAATCACATTTAACTTCGTAGAACTTGTTTTTGTTTGCAGATGCTTCCTATTTCATAAAATTATGTCCTTGTTTTATAATAATGGTGTCTTCTCTAATTTTTCAAAATAATATTAGTGTTTTTAAAATTTAGCTTTTATTCCTGTAATTATATTTGTCTGGGATACACTTTTTTCTTATCTCAGTCTTTCTCTTTCATGTAAAAGTTTTTTTTCAAATGCTTGATAATCTTTGCCTATCTATTCATAGATACGCCAGATGCAGTGGCTCATACCTGTAATCCTAGCACTTTGGGAGGCCAAGGTAGGAGTACTGCTTGAGGTTCAGGAGTTCAAGACCAGCCGGGTCAACCAGCAAGACCCCATCTCTACAAAAAGTAGAAAAATTAGCCGGGCGTGGTGGTGTATGACTGCAGTCCCAGCTTCTCAGGAAACTGAGACGGGAAGATGGCTTGAGCCCAGGAGTTGGAGGTTGCAGTGAGCTATGATCATGCCACTGCACTCTAGCCTGGGTGATAGAGCAAGACCTTGTCTCAAAAAAAAAAAAAAAAAAAAGCAGCAATAGACAGTTTAATTAAGATCTTTGTGTAACTGGCTGTGTAATTCTTTTCTTGCAGAGTATCTTTGGCCTAGTGTTCCAGAGAAAATCATTTGTAAGACATTGTTTTCTAGCAATATCTACTACAGTTTACTAATTATCTCATTTCCTGTCATCCCTCAGAATTTCAGGTCAGCCATCTTTTACATGAAACATGAACCCTCTGAAAATCAGAAATTCTTTGTATGGAGTACAACTTTGTCCCTAGAGCGTACACATTTGGTGCTCACACCACCTTTGCCTAAAGTAACAAATGAGGTAGTCCTTGCCTTTTTCTTGGACTTCCACTTGTATCATGTTTATTTTTAACACTGGCTTCAAAACTCTCCACAATAAACTGTTGTTGCCTGTAATGCTTCCTGATTAAGCTGTTTAACTTTGTTTTGTCATAACTCAGCTTTTAGTCATCTGCTTTAAATATTCACTTGGGAACCTCATTTACTCTCTCAGCTTCAATTAGTATCTCTATTATGAAACTTTTAAATCTGTATCTCCTGCTCCAAAGTCTTACCTGAGGTCTGGTTCCATACCTCATAGCACTTTCAGTTTTGTTTCTTCAACTGGGATTAGCCGAATTTTGCTGAGTTCCTTAAGAGAACTACGCATAATCACTACAGAACCTGCTGAGAAACTTCAGCATTCACATAAACAAGATTCAGACAATTCATTTTATTGCTATCAATTTCAAAATAAATTAACTCAATCCAAATCCAACAGCATATCAGGCCTGCAACAAGATTCATTGGATTTAATCCAGTTTAGGATCATACTCTGGAATAAGAATTGCCCCCATCCTTTCAGCTTTGAGAATGGTACTGGAGGGATTTCTCCTGTCTTAATTCAAGCTGACATTTTAGAGCTGGCTTGGCATTTGGGCAAAAACCATCACCTAAGATAGTAGGAAGAACAAATTTCTCTTTTTATTTATCAATGGACAAAAAATATAATTGGTGATTTTTTGGCACCGAAAATCCTTTTTGGTGTCTCATATTCCTAACTTGTATTACATTCTTGCTCCAAGAAGGACCCCCGCTCCTACAATCTGTCTACTAGTAGGTTTGGCTACTGTCGGCTGTGGGCTCTCGGGCAACATCAGATCTGCTCAGTGCTTGGCTATCCCTGTCTGCCTCAACTCCAATCAGCCTCTATCATTGCAAAGAGTTGGCTGAGCCTCTTCTTAATGTCAGGCTCATCTGGAGCACGACAGGACTTTGAGTGTACTCTGATGTGCTCAGCAAGTTTAGACTTATAAATGAAGCCCTTCCCACAGTCGCCACAGGCAAAGGGCCTCTCGGGCCTGTGTATGCGCTGGTGCCTAAGCATGTGTCCCCTTTCGCGGAAGTTTTTGTCACACTCTGGGCAGCGGAAAGGCCTCTCCCCCGTGTGCAGGCCTTGGTGGCTGAGCAGCTGTGCCTTCAAGCGGAAACTCTTGTCACATTTCAGACACTGAAAAGGCTTCTCGCCCGTGTGTGTCCTGATGTGTTCGACAAGTTTAGACTGTTTGGCAAAGCCCTTGCCACACTCGCAGGAGAATGGCATCTCCCCGCCGTGCAGCAGCTGGTGGGCCTTCATGTCGGCCTTCACGCGGTAGCTCTTGCCGCACTCCGGGCACCGGAAGGGCCTCTCCCCTGTGTGCAGGCGCTGGTGGCTAAGCAGCTGCCCCTTGAGGCGGAAGCTCCTGCTGCACTCCAGGCACTGGAAGGGCCTCTCCCCGCTGTGCACGCGGAAGTGCTCCGTGAGCTTGGACTGTCTGGTGAAGCCCTTGCCACACTCGCCGCAGGAGAACGGCCTCTCCTTGCTGTGGGTGCGCTGGTGGGCCTTCAGGATGCCCTTCAGGCGGAAGCTCTTGTCACACTCCGGGCACTGGAAGGGCCTCTCCCCACTGTGCACTCTCAGGTGCTCCCGGAGCTTGCACTGGTGGGTGAAGCCCCTGCCACACTCGCCGCAAGAGAACGGCCTCTCTGCGCCGTGCCGCCGCCGGTGGGCCGTGAGCATGCTCTGCAGGCGGAAGCTCCGCTCACACTCCGGACACTGAAAGGGCTTCTCGTCCGTGTGCAGCCGCTGGTGCCTCAGCAGTTGTCCCCTTTGACGGAAGTTCCTGCCACACTCCGCACACCAGAAAGGCTTCTCCCCACTGTGGACCAGGATGTGCTCTGCGAGTCTACACTGTTTGGCGAAGCCCTTGCCACACTTCCCGCAAGAAAAGGGGCTCTCTCCACCGTGCTCGCGCTGCTGGACCTTCAGCAGGCCGCTCGGGCGGAAGCGCTTGTCGCACTCTGGGCACTCGAAGGGCTTCTCTCCCAAGCGCACTCTGAGGTGGCTGGCGAGCAGCGACCTCGTAGGGAAGCATTGGCTACACTCCGTGCACGAGCAGGGCCTCTCCGCGCCATGGCCCCGCGGCTGAGCCTGCGTGTCACAGTCCAGGCACCGGCCTGGCTTCTGTCCTGAGTGTGCACTGGCGAAGGCGCCGTGGCCTTCTCTCCAGGAGGCTGGCCTGTCCCCACCCCGCCAGCACTGGTGAGCCTGCGTGCTGTCCATCGGGGGAAAGCTCTGGTTGTACTCCCGGGACTGGGAAGGCTTCTCCCCCGTATGCACGAGGTGGTGGCTGAGAAGGGTCCGCTCCTGCCGGAAGTACATTTTACACTCAGGGCACTGGAACGGGCTCTTCCCTGGATGGGCAGCCAGATGTCTCAGCAAACGCTGCTTCAGGCGGAAGCTCTTACCACACCGGTGACATGGGAAGTGCCTCTGTGCCCGAGGGGTACTCCGCTGCGGCTGCACATCAGCTCCTCTGCTGAATTTCTTCCAGGCTTGAGGCAGGTCCTTCGAGTGGCTCTTCTGATGATTTACTAAGTGGTTCTTCTTCCAAAAGCTCTTCCCGCAGACAGGGCAGGGGTGCTGGGCGCTCTTCCAGGAGGGGACTTCCTGCAAACCAGGGAGACCCAGATTTCTGGGACCTGGGATTCCTTCTCTTTGGGTAGATTCGCTGCAGCTGTGGACTACTGGAGTTAGAGCCTGAGCGTCATGTCTCTGTGGGCTCATGAGGGTGATGCCCTGGGCAGGCCTGAAGGAAACCTCTTCCCTTTCTCCAAAACAGGGGCCAAAGGGATACTGGCTCTGAAGAGGATCTACTTGGAAATGGCATTTGGTTTCTCCTGAATTCACAGCTTGCTGGCTTCCTGAAATTGAAAACAAAAATTCAGTCAGTATTCCTGTCTATGGCATGACTAAAGACTGTCACCAATAAAATGATCCATAAGGGTGACCTGTGGTGCCCTGGGAATCCAGCTTCCACTGAGCTACACAACCATATAGTGTGGTTCTATTTCATGTCCAAAGTGAGTTTGGTAAGTGCTGAACCTAACAGACATATTAATATTGAAAAGAGGAAGAGACAGATCACAAACGCAGGGTCTAAGCTCTGTAGTCAGACTGCCTGGGTTCAAATCCCATTTGTCAAGCTAATCTCTTTTGGCTTCAGCTCCTTCTGTGGAACAATAGTACAGAAGATTATTGTAAAATTAAATGAGTAATGAGCACGAGGTGCTTAGCATGGTGCTGGGAGAGCACATGGACTCTGTAAGTGTTGCCACTGTTATGACTTCGGGACTTACCCCATGACTACAGACACCCCTGGAGTGATGACGGCAGTGAGTTCCTAACAGAGCCCTGACTGATACCACAGTCACATGTAATCCACGAGCTGTCCTGTCCCTGGGTCCAGGCAAGGCTCGGCTCTATTCCTCCCTCCCTGTTCCCGTTCCTACCAATGTTTTAAGAAGGTTTCTTGGAAGAATTATTAATAGAAAGTAGAAAGTGAAATAATTTGTGGAGAAAAACCTCCTTTGTGTTCGGGAAAGAAGCAGCTAAAAACTAAAACTATTTGACTTTTTCATTCTGTACTTTAATACTGACTTTTAAGGATCCCAAAATCTCAGGCTCTCCCATGATGACAAGAAATGAAAGAGGAGAGCTAAGGTTTAAGTATTCAAATAGACAACAGTCTCTACATAGGAAGAAACCATGCTGGTCCTAAAGATCTGGATAACCAGACTCTGCTGTTGTTCCTTTTCCACCTCCTACTGAGAAGTTTACATTTACTGAGCTCTTATTCTTGCTAGGGATTGTTTTAACACTACATACATTAACCCATTTAATCCTGTAACATAGGCACTTTCATTCTTTTCATTTTATAGGTCAGGCATTGAAATACTGAAAGGTTCAATAACTTGCTCAAGGTCACCCAGAAAGGGCAAGATCCAGACTCAGGTCCAGAAGCCACACTTCTAACCATTATGCTTTACTGCCTTTCTCTAGAGTATCAGAGACATCAAGCATTAGCTCAAATAGGAAGACAAGATAAGAAAAGGGAAATTAAGAAGTCTGAATGTGATGTCTTAAAGTCAGGGCCCTGATTCCTAAATACTCACCCCAAAACAGCTGTCCCTCAATAACTGGATCAAAATGCAAATCAGCAGAGGAGCAAATTATGTTTCCTGATTTCTGTGATTCCCTCCAGTCCCTGAAGGGCTCTGCCCCCTGTTCAATCCAGGATATTAGTTCTGGTTTGGGAAGTCCATCATCTGTACAGAGAAGTCAGACAGGGTAGTTTGGCTTCCTTCAGCACTAAATTTAAAGCACATTTAAGTTATTTCTAAATTTCTCAAAATTCATTCCTGGGACACTATATGAGAACAGATGTCAAAAACCAGGTTATAGGTTTACACAAAGAGGAACAAAAGTGCCCCCACATCATACCAGTGCTTCCTAATCTGTCTGGACCTGTTAGACTCGTTGTGTTTAAATTCTGTCATGGTCCCCATACATCTATAATAGCAATGCTGTATTTTGTGCAAAAACAACATGGCAAATGCTTCAATATTTTTAAACCATTTAATAACAGCCATATCTCAAGGGTTCAATTATTCAGTGAAAAGGATTTTTAAAAACAATGCCTTATTAAAAATATTTCTAGCACATGGAGAAAAATATGCAAAAACCTAGGTGCCATCTAACTATGTCAAATCTTTCCATATGATACTTCAGGTTTTTAAAATATATGATACTACACATTTTAAGCCCCTGTATATCCCTCTCCAGAGGTAAGTGCTACCCTGAATCTGGTGTTTATCATTCCTATGTATGTTTTTAAATACATGCATTTAAATACATAAAATGCTGGTTTTAAACTTTACATAAACCATACCATATTATATGTACTGCAATTTGCTTTTCTTCTCACAAATTATGTTTTCAAAATTTCTCCATTTTGAAATACTTGGGTTCATTCATTTGATAGTAGTTGATTATATGAATATATCACAATCAGTCTTTTCTTTCTTCTGTTCACTGGCATGCCTCTATGAGTACACACAAGCACTGGCAGCTCGAAGTGAACTGCTGTATCCCTGGGTAAGTGTGTCTCCAACTTACGGTATGTTACCAAATTGCTCTCCAAAGTGGCTGTGCTGATTGACAATCTCATCAGCAGAGTAGGAGTGTTTGCTTTGTTTCACATCTTGACAACATGCAGTGCTATCAGATGTCTTTCTGTCTCTAACATAGTACTACATGGTAAGTCTTGCTGTAAGATAGGACAATCACTTTGCATCTTTTTCCAAAAATTTGTCTTGGCTATCCTTGTCTTTGTTCTTCCATGTTCTTTAGGATCAGTTTATCAGATTCCATGAAAAGCCCTATTGGGATTTTGACTGGAATTGCTTTGAATATATAGGTTCGGGGAGAACAGACAGAAGGCAGGAAGGTCCATGTCACTGTGTGATTAAGAGGATGGATAATCATAGAGATATGATGAAAGCATGTGTTAAAAAAAAGTAATTAAAAACTCAAGAAAAATCCACATCTAAAATAATCATGGCCTAACAGTGAATCAAATTGAAATGTGGCATAATTTTGAACTGATGAATATGAGAAAAAAAGAGAATACATTTGATTTGATGCTTGGAATATACTTTTTGGGGTGGCACAAGGTTAATGACATAGAATTATATTTATTTCTCTATAGATTCAATTAGTTTAACTGGTTCTTCAGTAACAATGAAAATAACAATATTTTAGATTACATGTTTCAGAAACAATCCACAGATACAGCCTGGAAAACTTAACAGAACAGAATATAAATATTAGAAACCTTGCAATATAAAGGAATTGGTATTGCTGTCATGAACTGGCAGGAGACATGAAAGGAAGTACTAGAGAACTACTTACCTTATCGTTAAATACTAAAAGAGACAAGAGATCTAATAAAAAGTTGATGGAACACAATCTAGAAGTTTAAATATATTAAATTATAAAGCTAACAATAGAGGCACAAAAAACTATCAAAAATTGGGGAGAAAGGGAAAAAGGAGATAGAAGAGGGATTGCACAAGTGAGCCAGTGCCTGCTTTTTCATAGCGATTAATTAATGCTTATCTAAACTCGATAAATCAAGGAACAAAGTTAGTGTAAGCATAGTTAGATTGGAGAAAACCACTTTGAGAACTGAAACAGAAATGGTTAAAAGTGGTTGCCTTTGGGGAATTAATTGGCGGGCGGTAAGACTGAAGCAGCAGTCTGTCAGCTTTGACTAGATGCTTCTCTGAAGAGACTAATTGTTAAGGCCCAGCACAGTGGCTCACACCGGTAATTCTGGCATTTTGGGAGGCTGAGGTGGGAGGATCGCTTGAGGCCAGGAGTTTGACATCAGCCTGGGCAACAGTGAGACCCTGTTTCCACAGAAAAAAAAATTTTTTTTTTGTTTGAGACAGGGTCTCACTCTGTTGCCTGGGCTAGAGTGCAGTGGCACCATGATAGCTCAATGCAGCCTCATATTCCTGGGTTCAAGCAATCCTCCTGCCTCAGCCTCCTGAGTAGCTGGGACTATAGGTGCATACCACCAAGCCTGGCTAATATTTTCTATTTTTTGTAGAGACGGGGTCTCACTCTTACTCAGGCTGGTCTCAAACTCCTGACCTCAAACGATCCTTGCCTTCGGCCTCCCAGAGTGTTAGGACTACCGGTGTGAGATGCCATGCCCAGCCTCTACAACAAAATTTAAAAATTAGCCAGGTGTGGTGGTATGCACCTATAGTCCCGGCTACTCGGGAGGCTGAGACAGGAGGATTGCCTGAGTCCAGGAGTTGGAGGTTACAGTGAGCTATGATGAAGCCACTGCACTCTAGCCTGGGCGACAGAGAGAGACCCTGTCTCAAAAAAAACAACAAAAAACCATATTTGATAAATAAGAAGAAATATAAAGAATAAGGAAAACAACCAGAAGAACATCCATAACCATTACCAGGCAAAGATAGTTACTCATAAACACCTCATTGTATAACCTTCCAAAATCTCATTCCAGGGAATAATAACATTAGCTTTTCTGAATTTTTTAGACCCCACTGTAAAAGTTTTAAGGTAGGGACATCCGAGGTTAAAGATATACAGGGTAGGCTGGGTGCGGTGGTTCAC